AGAGGACGTCGTCTTCACGTTGGAGATTCGAGTAGAAAGCCTGAATCAGCGCCGGGTTGATTTCCTTTCGGGCCTTGGAGACAAACGGCCATAGCCCGGTTTGGTGGAGCTGCGCGTCAAGGAAGTCGTAGCCGAGCATCTCTGGTAGACGCTTCGGAACAATCCGCGGGGGAGCCACAACCCGCTTAGAGAAGAAGGTGAGAAAGTGGGGTCGCTCCTCCTTGGAATCGAACCAGAGGTACGACCCGTTGCCGTAGTAGAGGCGTTCCTCGGAGGTCGTTGCAGGCACCCGGGATTTGGACTTTGATTTCTCGGAGGTACCAGCCTTGCTCTTGTCTTTGCCCATGATTTAGGAGAACAAGTGAGAAGAGATTAGTAGAGATTGATAAATTATGCAAGTAGATGGAGAGAATAGGTGTTTGTGTGTGTAAAAGTGAAGAGAGAGGGTCCCAATATATAGGGAAAGGGGTTCCCATTGTTCAGATTTTCAAAAATATGGCTGTTGGAGCATTTAATTCAGTGCCCAACGGATTTTTTTTTTTTGAAAAATTCAACTTGAACAGCGATGTTTCAAAGGCTACATCACTGTTGAGACATCGCTGTTTAGCCTTTGTACAACGCTGTTGTGCGTTAAGTTTTAAAAACAGGTGTCAAATAGACAGCGATGTTAGGTTCCCTACAGCGATGTTCCAAAACTTTCTAGAAATGTGTAAGGGTTTGAACCCATTAGAACAGCGCTGTTGGGTTTACCTACATCGCTGTTTTACGATAAGGAAAAAATTTGTAAATGTGGACAGCGTGAAAGGTAACCACGGTTGGGAGGGCAGCAAAAATACAAAAATTTAATCTCCCAATAGTGATTACTAGCCCAAGAACACGTACTAAAACTATAGCTAGAGATAGAAACTTATACCTTCTCCGGTAAAGCGGTATGAACGAGAAGTCGAGCAAAAGGTGTTGAAGGAGCAAACGTAGTCGTTCAAGTGTCCGGCCTCCAACTTTGACACACGAACAATCTCCGGAGTCTACTATAATCTTTATGCTAGTAAAGATTATAATAGTATATTTAATATAAAGATTTAAGAGGGATAATTTTAATCTTGTATATTAAATAGTAGAAAATATATCAATAATATTTTAAAGAAAATATTATAACAATTTTCTACACTCAAAATATAAACTTTTATTTCAAAACTCTCCCCAGTGCTTCAAAACTTTTTTCGGCAATTTCCCAACACAAAAAGGAAGACTTTTAAAATGGTGGAGAAACATGGACATTAACTAAAGTCCAAAACTAAAAGGAATCTTCATTCTTATCCAAGTATTCAAAAGGAAACATGTCATGTGTTAATGTGCCATGTACTACACACGTACATGCACATACTTAGCTTAAATGAAGTATTTCAAAATGCTACGAAAAGTGTATTTTATTTGACATCAATAATTTTTATGATATAAAATAAAATACCCAAAACATTTTAAAACAAGTATATAAAATATACTTTAAAATAGTTTTTGTCAACATAATTATTTCCAGAATTGAAATGACACTCCAAAATAAAATGTACACAATATAATATATAAAAGTAATATATACATATATGTACACGTTATATACAGAGTAAATTCCATAATTGGTCCATTATAACAGGGGGATTTCCATATTTAGTCATCTATTATCAAATATTACCCCCGTAGTCCTTTTTAAAGGGTGCCTTTCCTCAAATGGTCCTTTTTTTGATCTTCTGCCAAGTTGGTGTTAATTTAAAGGCTAAAAGCATAATTTGACATCAACATTATGTCTAGTGACGTGTTCTGATATTGGTTAAACGAATAACACAAAAATAATGACTATGATTATGGACTAGAATTCAGATAAAAGACCACATTTGTAGACTATGGTTGTAGTAGAAAGCGACTGTAATTCACAAACGACGCAAACGGAACAGCCTTTGGAATTGTGTATGAAAAAAAGATATATTATCATTGTGAAATTACACTTTTAGCCCTCAAATTAACACAAACATGATTGAAGATCAAAAAAAGGACTATTTGTGGAAAGGACCACTGGGATAATATTTGATAATAGAGGACTAAATAGGGAAACCCCCCTGTTATAAAAGAGCAATTATGGAATTTACTTTTATATACATGTTAAACACATATATACATATGATCGTACATATAATGAGTATATATGTATATATATGCCGTGTACAATGTATGTACTTACATATATATTATATTAAACATTTTACTTTACTATTTTACAATATACAAATTAAATATTATCCCTTCTTATAATCTTACTCTTTAAATTGTCCAAAGTGTGTGACCCATATAGGCACTTATAAAACTGGCCACAGTATTGACTCTACACCAATACTATAAGTAATAAGCGGTATCTAGCAACACATTATTACCCCCAGATTATAAGTTCATAAGTTCAGCCGTTTGCTCCGTCAAAACCTTTCTACGACTAAGACTTTGTATAACGTAGATCCTTTTGTTCCAATGTCTTAACTTAGTGCAAGGGATATAAAATATCTAACTTGTAGCCATTAAGTTATTTACTGATTAACAAGTCTGACTGATGAGAACAGATGTCTAAACTCATCTCAGCATGGCCATGCATTTCTTCAGTCATACTTATCAGTGGGCCCCTACAAGACATTATTCTGCTTGAGTATCAGTGACAAATTCTTTGTACGTAATCTACGTCTTCAAATACGTGCAGCGGCATGCCCAATACAAAGCCTGTATACCATCCTTATTTCATACGTCTTAGGACAATGAATCAAAGCATGCGGGTTCATGCACTCGAAGAATGTAATACTTCAAGTGTAAGGATCGTTATACCAATAGTCGCATTAAGGACACTTAGAGCATAGACTAAAAGTCTAGGCAATGTCCTTAAGGTGGGCCAGGTCTGGCATCCTATTATTAACGATAATATCTGCCCGAGAGTAGATGCGAACACTCCGTCATTGACCAAGAGACTAGGTCAAACATCTAACTCTCACTAGTCTCACACGCACTAACGATATCCTGCTCTCGTTAATGCTTCGACTATAGACCGTTCAGAATTATACTAAGTCTACCACGAACATTTTCATTGTCTACCACGAACATTTTCATTCCAAGGTTTTTGTCTAGGTTGTCTAGTGTTCTTAGATTGACTAGGTTTTCTATTATTCTGATTCTTAAGGTTCTTACATTGAGTATTAGGTGGTTGTCTAGATGTTTGCTCAACGTTTCCCTTATCCTTAATCTCATTAAAGCCTATTCCTTCCTTAGTGAATTGCATAGAGTCAAGAATAATATTAAGATCTTTATGCGGTGTATTAAACCTCTTAACCGTGTTTTCAAGTTTTGCAACTTGTTCTTTTAAGGTTTTGCAAGAGTCACATTCGTTGGAGAGATTCTCCGGTTTATTAGTGCTTCTTTTGCCATAAAATTTATTTTCTTCTTTTAATTTTTCATTTTCTTTTTCCAGTTTTTAAAAATCGTTTTAGAGTATAGAAAAGCGTTTCTTCAGGGATTTATTCAATTTTGAAGCTCCGACAAACTCTTGATAGAGTTCTTGTAATGCATCTTGCATTTCCTCGAGAGAATATGGATTAGAGGGAGTGGTACATACCTTCTCGTTGTCGGATGTTGTTGGTGAGTGTTGGGAAAAATATTATAGATTTTGATGATGATGTATTTAGATTGTAATAGGGACTTTAGGTCTCCCCCAATATTTAATGTAATTTTTCCTTTTAGAAATATTGTTAAAACCGAGTTCTTGAGATTTCCAATAAAGTTGTGATATTTCATTAAGTGGTTTGATGCTTGAAGACTTAATCAAATTCTGTGATATGGAAATTGGATATCTTGATCGGAAATGTCAGAGACAATTAAGGATTTCTCAAAGCAATTGAAGATCCTCTAATCCGGAACTCTACATGATAACCGGATGTCTCGCTACAACTCTCTGAAGGCTAAGTCATCCAAATCGGAAGACTAGCGCGGATCTCTTTCTCACCCGGAAGTCTGTGAATGACTCTTCCGGATTTGTCAGCGAAAGAACCGGATGCCTCAAGAAAACACCGGAACTCTCAGAATCGGACAAGTGAGAAGATAATTAAGCTGATTCAAGAACAAATGACTTGAAGACAAAGTCTGGACCCCTGTAATTAAAGAGCTCATCTAGAATTCCTAAACAAGCACTAGAAGACAAACTGAGTAAAGAGCTACAGTCCAGAATTCTTGAACAACAGCTAGAAGACGGATTCTGTGGAAAAAGGAATCCCTCCTCAAACAATTGGGTATGTCCAAACACCCATTCCAATGAGGAATCCTCAATCACAATCTTTGTTCAAAATTAAAGCCAGCAAATGAAACGGATAGTCTATTTTGATTCAACGGATAGATTATCCAATCCAGCTATAAATAGCAACCTTGGAAGACTGGAGAAAGTACGATGAGATAGAAAGCACGAAATACACACAACGGAGAAAGCTACATCAAAATCCATCTCATTCACAGTTAGCTCAAAAAGCTTGATAAAGAGAGATTTCTAAACTCCTTATCCAGAAGCAAACTTCTCCTCCTTCCAAAGAGCTATAGTGTAAACACTTGAAGGTTTCCTTGCCTCAAGTACCACACCACGTTGAAGGATATAACTTTTAATCAAACTTCTTGATTAAAAGGGGGTACATCAACTTTCTTACAAGTTGATCTTGCAAGTCCTATTGTTCGGATCTTGCAGTTGTTGAAGAAGCGTGACCTTCGAAGGAACAACAAAGCCAGCACGAGTGCAGTAGCAATATTGACCTTGCGAAGATATACCGTGCAGAAATTCACACAAGTGTAATTGTTGGTTCATTATTCAACAACCAACTACATAGTGGATTTTGAGGACGTAGAAGGATTACCCCACCTTCGTACCTCGTTAAAGTTTGTGTGTCTCTCTCTTTTATCTTTACTCATACTTGGAATTATATTAACTGTGAAAACTAACCCATCCATATTGATTACTGCTCAACTAAACCACCAACTTCCGCACACAATCTAAGGTTGACAAGAACTCTAGATTAAACACTTATTTTCACGTTTTCAAAAAGAAACGAAAAAGTTTTTAATTTGTAACAAAGTCTATTCACCCCCCCTCTAGACTTTGTATCTCACCACTTTGGGACCACCAGTGAGTCTTCCTCGTGTGCCATAAGACAAAGATTGGCAGCTTCATCCTCGTCTTGGTCGGTTGACTCGTCGCCGGAGTCGCCACCCCAGGAGATGTATGCCCTTTGCCTTTTGAAGTGACGAGCATTCCTTCCGCTTCTCGGGCATTTATTTTTTATGTGCCCGGCTTCACCACATCCATAGCACATAGGGCCATCCTCAACCTTCTCATTCTTCCTTAGAAGGTGGCAAAACTTCTTCATGATAAGCTTGACTTCATCTTCGTCGCTTGAGTCATTCATTGTCAGTTCTTTGGAGGCTTTTAATGCTATGCCTTTTCTCTGGTCATCCAAAGACGGTTTAAGTATAGTAGATTCATACGATTTTAAGTTACCTCTTAAACCGTCGATGGTTACATTTGATGTGCCGATTGACTCATAGATGGCATCGGCCTTAGATCACCATTTGGATGTCAAGCTCCGCAGGATCTTTTGTACAAGATCCTTGTCGGTGTAAGTCTTCTTCAATGCATGAAGATCGTTGACTATCTTGGAAAATCGGTCGAACATGTCGTCGATCTTCTCGTGCTCCTTCATCCTAAACATCTCATATTCTTGGGTTAGGAAGTCGATCTTGGCTTCACATACTTGGTCTATTCCTTCGTACGTCACCTCAAGTTTATCCCATATCTCCTTAGCGGTTGAGCAGCAGGAGATTTTGCGGTAGTCATCAGGGTTTACGGCACAATAAAGCATGTTTATTGCCTTTGCATAATTTTCGACCTTTTTGATGTCCTCGACATCAAATTCATCTTCGGTCTTAGGGATCAACTTGTCTCCGACTTTCTTCATCGGCACCTCTTCCCCGTTTTTGATAACCAACCATAATTGGAAGTTTGTGGAACGAATATAGATTCCCATTCGTTTTTTCCAATATTTATAATTGGTTCCATCAAAAAGAGGTGGCCTTGTGGTTGATTGCCCTTCACCTATTCCTGCGTACAAATTTCTAGAAGAAGAACCCATGATCGCTTTACTCTCAAACGGTTAATTTGGACGCGAGTTAGGCTCCGATACCAATTGTTAGAATAAGTGACCAACGCTAGAGGGGGCTGAATAGCGTTTGATCGTAGAAGTCGCAAGAATAAAAAATTAAGAACGTGAAAAGTAAAGAGCATAGAAAAAGTAAAGGGAGCACACCGAGATAGATATATACTGGTTCACCACAACGTGTGGCTAATCCAATCTCCCAAGAGACTCTCTCGAGCTACACTTCCTCCGTTAAGCTTACGGGTACTTAACAAACCGTTACAACTTGAGAACTCGAGTCCCACGAGCCTCAACAACACTTGCTCGGAGATACCGCACTCCAAGACTTCAACCCGAAGGAAAACACCTTTCATCCGTACAACCAAGGGAAACAAGCTTCCCTTAACGTATATAAACACTCAGAACACTCAAGAACAAGGCTCTCTCAAAAGAGTGAATATGAGTAAAGTAATACGCTCAAGATCACAACACAAACTTCACAAAGATGGCTCTCGAAAAGCTATGAATAATGTATGAATGTAATGCAATGAAAAATAAGAGTTTTGAAGTAATGTGATATGTAAAGCAAACCCAAACACCCGATTTTATAGTAGAAAAATAGGCTCCAACAGGTAAGAGTTGAATGGGGGTGATTGGCACAATTTGTGGGATTTGATTAAAATTGGATCTACTGAAAATATCGTTGTCCATGGCTTGGCCTATATCGCTGTTTTGGCTGTTGACTTCCAAACATGGAAAGTTTTAGCCATAAATTCCTTCCAACGGTGAGGTGCCTACATCGATGTTCAATACTTGAACATCGATGTTCAGGCCTGACTTTGAAGGGTGAAGAAATGGCCTGACATCGCTATTGTTGGGTCAACAGTGCTGTCCAAAAACTTTCTCCCAAAGGCATTTCTTTTTAGCTTAGGTTGGACATCGATGTAGAGAAGTCTACATCGTTGTTCCAGATGTTTCTAGAAACCCGACCTTGGCTAAACAGCGATGTCCATTAACCAACATCGCTATTGGAAGACTTAACGCCAACCCATGGTTTTCAGCTGCCCATGCCAGACAGCGGTGTTGGTCACTCCAACATCGCTGTTGGGCTGGTTTAGCCAGACCCATGGTTGGTTTAGTCATGCCGTTAGCCGATGTCAAAAATCTAAGTCCTCCAAAATTAAAACCAAGTGTTGAAAACATTTTTTAAAGCATTTTGCTAAGAAATCAAGTGAAACATCTTGAAAACCACGTCATTTAGATAAAAACCACGACTAGCCAAGTTTACGCCGTTTCACATGGTTTTTACTAAACGACCAAAAACGAGAGGTGGTTTTTGAAGCATTTTTGTTGGAGAACTATTTAAATATGCCCAGAAGTGAAAAACAATCATAAAATATTGAAAACCAATTGGTTGGTTTGGACGACAAAAACCAACGCCGATAACCGAATGCCGAACGCCAGTTTTCTGAAAACCGAATGCCGGATGGCTTGGTTTTTTGTTTGGGCGAACACCAAGTGTTTTAGGATTGTTTAAAACTTATGAAAAACATTTTTAAATATGCAAAAGAATATTTTAATGAGATGAGCATAGAGAGCCAAGTTTAGAAGTTTGTGCCGGTCTTGATCACATTAAGACCGACTTAATTTATTTCTAAGTCTTGGTTCTTGGTTCTTGGTTCTCGGTTCTCAATTCATCACGCCATGTTCCTTCGCCTTTGATTTGATCAAAAAAATCTTGTTATCACGGCGGTTTGACATTATCAAAACCTGTCATAAAACGGACACGGTTTAGTACGACATAGGCCTAAACCCGTGTTCCAACAGTTTTGGGTACCAAGCTAAATGTGAACACAATCTTCCACCCTCATGGCGGAAGTTGGTCTTGTAGCGTAATAGTTGGAGCTACCCACCTGAACTAAACAAGATTCACAATGTGTTTCACGTCTCTATGTTGCGACGTTGCCAAATAGATCCGACCCATCGGTTACCTAAGGAAACAATCACTTTAGACAATAACTTGACTTATGAGGAGGAGTCTGTGCAGATCGGAGGTGAAGGAGTTGAGAAATAAGCGGGTGCCTTTGGTCGAAGTCCTCTGGCACAACCATGCCGTTGAAGAAGCCACGTGGGAGACTAGGGATTCCATGAGAGTTCGGTATCCTCACCTTTCCGGTGACAATGATTCAGATAATTTCGGGGACGAAATTTTTTTTAAGGGGGAGAAAAATGTAACCCCCCAAAACCCAGCTTAGTATTTTAATTAATTTATAAAATTTAATTTATTATTAAGCCGGTCAATACGAAGATTATTTTTTAATTTGCCTTAATGAATGTGGGTTTATCCTACATTGTAGAGCACGTTGTTGTGAACCTGACCGCGTGAATGGATTGAGAATCAGACTTACTGAGCCCAAGATACGACTACCGAATAAGGTAATTGGGCTTAAATCTATCCTAACTGGTTAGAAAGTGTAAACTGGACCCTAAATTCTATTTAATATTATATTAAATAGCAAATGGGGGTTAGGAGACGGAGCTTCCCTCTTTCCCGTACGTTCTCTGTCCCTTCCCTGCTGTCGATTCTTATTCGCGTCCGGTCAATCAGCAATTGCAGCCTGTTGGGTTCTACGCTTGGATAGGGCAGCAGAAAACAAAATTTAATTTTCCAAACGTAGATCCACCTAGGACCTCTTATGATTATTATAAGTTATTGTTGAGAAATATACCTTTCTTGGCGAGCAAGCAACAATATGTGTAGGTTGATGGATTGATCCAAGAGCTAGCCACAAAAGTATATGACCTCAAGTTGAGACACACGAACAATGAAGAGTGTTCTAGAGAAAATTATGCTAGTAATATTTCTCAAGAATATTTCTAAAATATAAAATATTTGGTGTAAAGTATTAAGAGAACAAAACAAATTTTTCTATCTTAAAATTATGTTAGGGCCGAAAATACTAGTAGTTTAAAAGGGGTGGGATGATCTGTTATTTATAAGGAGCATAATCCCTATTCCTATTCCTAATAGGAATGTATCTTTTAGAGTTTAGGAAGGAAATCAAATCCCATTCCTGTTCAACTTAGGTAATTTCGAATGGGACTTTAAGGAAGCTTCCAATATATTTTGTCAACTTTAATTATCATATAATTAACACAAAATAAATAATATAACATTTATTTTATGTGTATCCAAAATATACATAAACATATATACATATATATACGGCGATATATATACATATTATATACACGCACATATACATATATAAATATAATGATGTTATATTTTGTTCCTTAAATAATATTTAAAAAACTTATTTATCATATAATTAAAATGTCCAAATATTAAATATATATAAATATATATTTCGTGCCTTAATAATAATACTAGAATAATAAACAATTTATTATTCATATATATCCGAATATATATTTGTTTATTATTATTAATTATATTTGACAAAATTAATTATCACATAATTAAAATGTCCAAATATAAATATTTATTTATATATGTGTTTGTGTATCTAATCATATTGTCACACAATATATATATAATGCAACTTTACTCCACTTACATATTTTACACTTTCATATGTTCTATGTGTGTGACCCTATTCTAGGCATCTATAAAATTGGCCATAGTATCGATTAAATACTACAAGTGATAAGCGGTATCTAGCAACACATGATCACCCCCAAATTATAGATTAAAGCTCTTGGAACAATTCGTTCAACGACACATCCTATTTGTATAACTCTTATCCCTTTATCACTAATATCTTGATTTAACACAAAGTATGGGGTGTGTCACCTTGTTAAAGTTAAATCGATGGTTTACTGATTCTTCGATTGACTGGTGGGATTCAAATAACATATTTATTTGGGCATGGCCATGCATGCACTTCCCAAGTCACATCAATCACTGTGCCCTAAGATATTATACTTCATCAAAGAAGGGATAAATTCTATCTACGTCATTCACATCTTTGCTTAAGTTTCATTGCATACCCAAAACATAATTGTACATCCACCAATATTTCAGATGGCATAAATCATGCCTCAAAGTATACAACTCAACTTACCAAAGAATGTAATGACTTCAAGTCGAAGGGTAGTTATACTAATGGTCGCATGAGAATAATATTAACACTTTAACTTAAACCCATATATTATTCTCATAGTGGGTAATTCCAGCAATATATCCAATATGTTTGCCTACGTATAGATTCAGATAACACTTTATCTATATCCTATGAGACGCAGCTATCTCATCTCATACGTATTAGTCTTGATATATTATGATGTCCGCATTGTCATAATATTTGACTAAGGATATTTTAGACGTAGCCTCTATCTTTGTAATAGCCTCATAATCAGAATGTCGTAGTTCGCATCTATGTTACTAGAGCCCCTACTCTATGGACTAAAGATATGTTTAAATCACACGAGACGACTTAAACAATCTTTAGGGCCTACTGTTCTTGATATAATATAGATATGGAATCATAAGTTGGCCTTTAGGGCTCACTTATATTCAACAATCTCCCACTAGCACTAAGGCCAATTATGGTTTCCATGTATGCCTCATGCACGAAGTGTGACCCTCGTGTATAGGTATTCCCAAAGCCTAGGTCAACAGGTTAAGAGATTGTTTGTCCTTTTCTTATCTTGCAAATTTTGATACTTTAACTTTTACGACTGTTCGTATAATGTGGTGAGATCTAATGATGTTTTGGTTTCTAGGTGTAGCTTCTTAAGCTCTTGTAGTAACCTTATCATTGTCACAACAACGAGATATTGGTTTCTAACACTGGGAGCAATGTTATCCTTTTGTGAGTAGCTCCTAAAACCAAAATATCTTCTTCTTGGCTACTTCCAAAGTTGCAAATTTATCTCAATGTTATGTGTTTGACACTATGTCAATACTTGTTAATATATGGTTTTTGTTAATTTCA